AATCCCTTCTCCATTCTGTTTCGGGATTTTGGGCATGCACGTATACCCACGCAACCTGAGTTTTAAGCTGGGTCTGGAACTCAAACCGAGGTCGACTATGTGAGAGTCCAATGACGTAACCATACCGCCATCTGCTGGCTGGAGGAGGAGAGTACTTTCCCTCTCACTCCCCTCCCACCCCCACAAAGCACTAAGGCAAAAATCTCTTTTAAAAAAATCATGGAACCAGCAGTTGGCGTAATGGCTATGTCGCTGGACTGCCATGTAGTCGACTGCTGCTTGAGTCCCGGACCCAGTGGCTTCAACTCACGCCAGGCATGTGTGCGAGTCCCGGACCCAGTGGCTTCAACTCACGGCAGGCACGTGTGCATACGTGCCCAAGATCCCGAGAGGAGAATAGGAGAGAAGGGATTATGGCATGGCCATCCCCCCAGAGGTGATTTTTTGCTTTCTGTCTCTCTGTGTCTCTCCAGCAAGCGCACGCACCCTATAGCAAAAACCTCTCCCCCCAAAAAATCATACCGGGTGTGTATGCATGTGAGCCCACAGCCCGACAGCAGAGTGGAGAAGAGACTGAGGCATAGCCATTTCCACTGCGGGGTGATTTCTCACTTTCCCTCTTTGTCTCTGTCTGTCTGTCTCTCTCTGCTTGCCTTATGGGGCCAGCTTAGCAGCACAGCAGAAACACGCTGATCAAGCCACGCTGACTGTAGATTCCCTTCCCCAACCCGAGCACATCTATAAATCTGGGGCGCTGGGAAGGTGGGGCCGAGGGGGTAGACCCTGGAGTAAGACCCTGCCGAAGGTTCTTTCTTAGTTGTTCTCTCTCTGTCTCTCACTCTCATGAAAGAGACTTTTTTTTAAAAAATCACTGTCTTCTCTCAGGGACCGATTTCATTCGTGGGGTTGCCAAATTATCCTTTGGAAATGGACAACCCAGAGGTAGCTAAGAGTATTCGGTCAATTTTCAGAAAGTAAAAATTAGTATTTATGAGGAATTTGAGAGTATAACACTAATTTTAATTCAAGATACTTTTAAAATGTACCCTTTAATACTGCACAATTTTTTTGAGAGTATGTCAGTGTAACTCTAAGCATTATTTAGGATTAACAGCAGGCCACCACGAATTTTAAAGGCTTCGCAGGCACAGTAATCATCTATTATATTGACTTTGGAATGGAAAAGCCACTGTTGTTTCTCAGCATAACCAGAACACAGTCTTTAATCCTAATTTTTTGATGGTCACGTTGTTTCATAGCAAACTACTGCGGCCACAATGTTAAAAGATTTCTGAACTGATAGAGAATCTCATGGGGGTTCTTAACCACACAGCCAGTCTATTCAGTACAAACAATTCCAACCACAGGCGATTTCCCTGCCTAGGCTTATTTTGTTGGCACACCACACACACACAAAAATCTCCTGACATTTTATATCCAGTAAAAAAAAAAAAAAGGATTGTACTTAAAGATGACCAGAATGGGAACATCTTTAAAGCCGGGCAGGCAAATTTAACAGCTTTCTAGCGTTCACCAACCTATGGATTGTGCCCAATTGCCACCACAAAATAAACCCATATTGGCTCTTTTCAAAAAAATCTATATTTGAATCTTAACAGCCAACGTCCCAGGAACGTTTTTCTAAACTCGCCAACAGCACCGAAACAACAGATTCTAGGCTCTCTTTACTTCGAAAACCCACAAAGATAACCAACTTTGGATGTGTTGTTTACAATTACCAAATACCATCATTTTCTATCACCGTCATTTCATAAAAGAGTCCCAGACCCGGAGCCTTAAAAACCACACCAGGTACCTTTGCACATGTGCACGCTCAAAATCACGCGAGGAAGGAGACTGGAAGAGTGTGGATGGCAGTGGGACTCCTCCACATGAGGCGTACTTCTCCCAGCCACCCACCGAGAGCAATGCCTCCTCTGGCAAAATTAAAAGGTAAATAAGGGGGGACCAGCAGTTGGCGTAATGGCTATGTTGCTGGACTCCCATGTATTTGACTGAGGTTCAAGTCCCAGGCCTGGTGGCTTAAACTCACACCGGGTACATGTGCATGCATGTTCAAGATCCCAAGAAGAGAATGGAGAAGGGATTGGAGAAGGGATTGCGACGTGGCCATCCCCCCCGGGGGATGATTTCTCACTTTCTGTCTCTGACTCTGTCTTTCTGGCAAGCACACACACCCTATAGCAAAAACCTGTCCATAAAAAAAGGTAAAAAAGGGACCAGCAGATGGCATAATGGTTGCATCGCTGGACTTCCACGTGGTCAAATGAGGTTCAAGTCCCAGACCAGTGGCTTAAAACTCCCACCCAGTGGCTGTGTATGCGTGCCCAAGATCCCGAGAAGAGGATGGAGAAGGGAATGCAGCATAATCATCCCCTTGGGGGGGGTGATTTCTTGCTTCTGTCGTAAATAAAATAGAGATAAGGAGAGAATCTCTCCAGTCTCCTGATGCTCTGTCATCACTGTTCCTCTACTGTAATGGGCAGTTTGCATAATACTAACCACAAGTTAGCCATGTGATTTAAACAATGCATAGGGTTATACAGCAAGTCTTACATATTAGACAATAAAAACCCAAACCTGATAGTCATTTTGAACCTAAGCAATACAGTCACTTGAGTCATCTAAAGTATAGGACAGTGTTGTCAAGTCAGTTATAAAGAGAACGTCTGCTTCAGAGAAATCAGATCTCAACAGGACACATTTTAAATACTCTGAAAGTCCAAGTGTAAAATAGAAATGTTGATATGAAATTTACTTCAATCACACTAGCGTAACTATTCTCCACTCGCTATGACACTACTGGACACACAAATATATGGACTGTGACCAAAGCCCGGAGTGATAAAGCCTTTCTATGGCAAAAGATTTACATTACTTTCAATGTCAAAAAAATCCCTACGTACCTGGATGATACCTGGCAAGGATTATGAAGCATTCTCTGGCTACCTAAAGACGCTGAGTCTTAAAAGACTGCTTTAGGACCAGCACATGGTATGGTGGTTGCATCGCTGGACTCCCATATGGCCAACCACGGTTCGGGTCCTGGACCTGGTGGAAAATCACTCTGGGTACTTGTGCGTGCGTGCCCAAGATCCTGGGAGGAGAACGGAGGAGAGGGGATTGCAGAGTGGCCATCCCCCTTGGGGGGGTGATTTCTCACTTTCCCTCTCACTGTGTCTGTCTTGTTTGTCTTGTCTGTCTCTCTGTCTCTCCCCCTAGCCCCAGCGAACACATGTGCTTTAGGACAAAAACCTCCTTAAAAAAAAAAAAAGAAAAAGACTGCTTTGGGTACACTAAATCAAAGGAAAAAAAGGATACACTTCTGTGAAGAAAAGAATTATTGACTCAGCCACTTCTTCACGGAAAAAAACTGTACCTGTATCGTTACGCGTCTCCTTTCACTATACACCCTTCTCTATTAGTTTGGCTGTTATATAATACATTATTGTTATACTTTGCTTTTTTTTTTTTAAGAACTACTCATTTCACTTGATTATTATTTTTTTTTCTAAATTTGCTATAGGGCATGTGTGTTCAGCAGACAGAGACAGACAGAAAGCAAGCCACCAGGTCCAGAACTGAAACAGTGGTCAGCCCTGGATGAGCCCCACCACGCTACCCACGGGCACCACTTTGCTGTTCGTATTCGTTATTAAGGAAAAACAATAGTTTCTTTGATATCATCTACTGTGCAAAAAACTACAGTCCTCTCACACTACTCCAAACCACCAGAATGGAGTGTCTGTCGACAATCTGGTTTCATCTCAAACTATGTCCTCTGGGGTGACAGCAAATAAATGTTACTGGGTTCTGGAACTTTTTTTTTTTTTTGAGAGGTTTTTGCTATAGGGCGCGTGGGCTTGCCAGAAAGAGAGAAAGACAGAAAGCGAGAAATCACCCCCCAGAGGGAATGGCCTCACTGCAACTCCTTCTCCTCCATTCTCCTCTCAGGATCTTGCCGCCACAGGCGCCTGGGGTGAGTTTAAGCCACTGGGTCCCGGGCTCGAACCATAGTCGACTACATGGGAATCCAGAGACATAGCCATTAGGCTAACTGCTGGTCCCAGCTCTGGAACATTTGTAAAAGGATTTTTTGTTTTGTTTTTTACTATCTGTTATAAACTGAGAAAATATTACCAATGGCTTGTAATGCTCTTTCCAAAAACATTTTCCCCTATATTCAACTGGAAGCGAATTTTTCCTGGCCTTTCCTGCAGTTTTGGACAAATTATCACGGGCATCAACAAATCAAGATTCCCTGCATTTGAATGATCACAGGAATTCTTGCTGGCTTTGTAAATACTATCTGGAAACTGATCTATTTTCCAGTCATGTCCAGGGCAGCTGCCCAAGAATAAACTACGACGTTTTAAACTTAACCACTTCACTTGTACAATTACCACGCTGCTGGAAATGCAAATATTCCTTGGTAAACACTGGACTATTCATATCCTACTTGATGCAACTAAAGGTCTTAAGAATAAGAGCCATGCCTTCTGCTCCGGGCAGAACACCCCAGAGAAGCCGGGCCCGGGCACTGGCAGAAGCACGTCCGCAGCAGTCCCGGGCTCTGCAGCCCCTGCACCCCGAGCTGCTCGCGTCTTCGGGACTCCCGAGCTCCGGGGGAGAGGGCCAAGGCAAAGGGGCGGCGGCCCCGGGTTCCCCCGCGGCGCTGGAAAAGCAAAGCGCGAGGGTCTCTCCCGGCCTTTTGGCACCGGCGCAAGCTGCGGACCAGCATACAGAACCAGCTGGATCTCAACACCAACCAGGAGCAATCTACGAGACTACAGATCCGCGGCACAACCCGTGGGTGGGCCAGGGGGCCCCAAGAGCCCAGAGAAGGGGACGGCGCAGGCGCCGGACGGGCTGGGGGCCGGGAGGGGGGTGGCGCAGGCGCGAAGCCCGGCGGGGTCTGCGGGGCCGCCCGGGCCTGGCAGTACGGGCGCGCTGAGAGATAAACGAACCCGCCGACATACATTGAGAGGTCCGGGTCCTGGGTCTTACCACGCGGCGCCGCCTTGCTCGCTCGCTGGCTCCGGGCTGGGCCCCGCCTTCGGCCCGCCCCTTCCCCGCCCCGCACAGCCGCGACAATCTGCGCAGACGCCGCGTCGGCCCCGCCCACACTCTGCCATTGCGCAGGCGCTCTGTGTGCGGCCCACCCTTTCTCCCCCACCTCCCTCCTGACCCTAAGTTGCGCAGGCGCCCTTCCAGTTGGCGTTCTCACAAAAAGGTAGACAGTGCGCATGTGTCAGGTTTCTACTGGTTTCAAAAGAGTTTACCCGTATTCACAGTGCTGAGATCTGTGCTAGGCGGGAGCTAGCCTTTCCACATTGGCGCTCCCAGCCATTAGGGATTACAAATAAAAAAAACGAGTGAGCGGGACCAGCAGTTAGTGTAAAGGCTATTGTCGCTGGACTCCAATGTGTATTAGACCATGGTTCGAGTCCCAGACCCGGTGGCTTAAACTCACACCAGGCGCGTATGCGTATGTGCCCAAGATCCCTGGAGGAGAATGGAGGAAAAGGGATTGCGACGTTGCCATCCCCCGTGGGGGGTGATTTCTCACTTTCTGTCTCTCTGTCTCTGTCCTTCTGGCGAGCACACATACCCTATAGCAAAAAATAAATAAATAAATAAATAAGACATAAATTAATGAATTAATTAAAGTGGCCGGTTACAAAATCAGCATACAAAATTGGTAGCGGTTCTATATCAGTATATCAGTAACAAATTCGGTTGGGGGGCAAGAAATACCAGGAAAGCAATCTCATTTACAGTAGCTATAAAAGAGGGGCCAGCAGGTGACATAGAGGTTAAGTGGCTGGATCTGCATATCCAACTGCGTGGTTTGAGTCCCAAACCCTGTGGCTTGAAAATCTCACAAAGTGGGGCCAGTGAGTGTCATAGCAGTGAAGGCTCTGGCTTCCATGTGGTAAACGGCAGTTCAAGTCCTGGACCCTGCAGCTTGAAACTCATGCCCAGGTGCGTGTGCATTCGTGCCCAAAATCCCAAGAAGAGAAGGGATTATGGTGTGGTCATTCACCCTAGGGGGTGATTTCTCATTTTATGTCTCTCTGGCGAATGCATGTACCATATAGCAAAATCTCTCCAAAAAACAAAGAAAAAAAAATCACACTGAGCAAATGTGCAGAAGGAGAGTAGAGAAGGGATTGGATTGTGATGTGGCCATCTCCCTGCAGAATGATTCCTCTCTCTATCTCTCTCTCTCTCTCTCTCTGGTGAGTACGCATGCCTTCTAGTAAACTAAAACTTAAAAAAGATAAACAAAAGCAACTAGTAATAGGTTGATCTAAGGAGATAAAAGATTTCTATAATAAAAACTATAAAATACTGGAGCTGGCAGGTGACGTAGTTGTTAAGGGTGCTGGATTCTCACATGGCTGACCACGGTTCAAGTCCCGGACCTGGCGGCTTGCTTTCTCACTTTCTCTTCTCTCTCTTTCTGTTACTCTCTAGTCAAACTTTAAAAATGAATGGATAAATAAATGAAGTTAAATAAAATAATTCTTTTTAAAAAAACTATAAAATACTTATGAAAGAAATTGAAGACAAAAATAGGGGGGAAAAATGTTCAGCTGGTACTGGACAGCTCCATCCACATGGCCGACTGATAGTTCGAGTCCCAGCCACAACAACTTGAAAAATATGCTGGGCGTGTGTCCATGCATGCCCGAAAACCCACGAAGAGGATGGAGGAAAAGGAACTGCAGCAGGGCTATCCTCCCTGCAGGAATGACTTCTCACTTTCTCCAAAAGGATGCATGCTCCTTTAGCAATTTTTCTTTTAAAAAATGGAAAACATCTCATGTTTATGGATTGTAAAAAATAATATTGCTAAAATATAAATATTACCCAAAGCAGTCTACAGATTCCGTGCAGTTCATATCAAAATATCAATGACATTCTTCACAAACCAATCACAAAATGTATGTGGAACCAAAAAAAGCCCCAATTAGCCAAATCTTAGGCAAAATGAACAGAGCTGTCAACATGTTCCTGTACTTCAAGATACACTACAAAGAGGGACCAGCGATGGTGTAATGGTTACGTTGTTGGACTCCCACAGAGTGGACCATGGTTCGAGTCCTGGACCCGGTGGCCTAAAACTCAGTCTGCTGCGTATTCACGTATGCCCAAAATCCCAAGAGGAAAATGGAGGAGAAGAGATTGTAGCATGGTCAGCCTTTCTGAGAGCAATTACTCACTTTCAGTCTCTCTCTCTCTCAGGTAAGCACACAGGCCCTATAGCAAAAATCTCTCTTAAAGAAAAAATAAAATAAAATACACTACAAAGCTATACTAAACAAGACAGCATGGTACTGGCATTCCAAATCATAAGTGAGATTATGCAGTCATTACCTTTCCTTGCCTAGGTTATTTCACTTAGCTTGATTGAATTGTTCTATAATGTATACCTAGGTCAAAATACAATTACTCCTCATGTAAAAATTAATTAATTAAAAAAGGAAATCCTGGGTCCAGCAGGTGGCATGGTGGTTAAGGCACAGGACTCCCACATGGCCCACTGTGGTTCAAGTCTTGAATCCAGGTGCTTGAAAATCACACCAGGCACGTGTGTTTGTGTGTGTGTGTGTGTGTGTGTGCAGCTAAAATCCTGAGAATAGAATAGAGGAGAATGGATTGCAATGTGGTCATCCCCCTGGGGGTGATTTCTCACTTTCCCTCTCTCTATCTCTCTCTTCTTCTCTCTCAGTCTCTGGCCAGTGCACACATCCTATGGAAAAAAAAAAAAGGGAAGGAAATACTGTTATATGTCATAACAGTAAGTGAACCCTGAGGACATTATGCTAAGTGAAATAAATCAGTTGGAAATCAGTTGGAAAATACCGCCTGATTCTGCTTACATGAGTCATCTGAATAACTGGAATGCATAGAAGCAAAGTTTAATGGTAGCTGACAGCAACTGGGGAAGAGATTAATGAGGAGTTGTTATTCAATGTTTATTTCTAGTTATTTAGGATAATTATGTCCTAGAGATCTGTGGGATAATTTTGCTCTGTGTTAGCAATACTGCATTGCACACTGATGTGTACTTCTGTATCCATTTGCTAAAAATGTAGATTTGGGGACCAGCGGATGGCATGGTGGTTAAGGTGCTGGACTCCCACATGGCCAACCGCAGTTCAAGTCCTGGACCTGGGGACTTGCTTTCTCACTTTCTTTGCCTCTCTGTCTCTCTTTTTCTTGTCTTTCTCTGATGAATACACATGCCTTTTAGCAAGTTTTAAAAATAATAATAAATAGGGGCCAGCAGGTGACGTGGTGGTTAAGGATGCTGGACTCCCTCCCACATGGCTGACCCTGGTTCAAGTCCCAGACCTGGCGACTTGCTTTCTCTCTCTCTCTCTTGCTCTATCACTCTCTCTTTCTCTTGCTCTGTCCCTCTCTGGTCAAATTAAAATAAATAAATAAAGTTAAATAAAATAGTTCTTTTTTTAAAAAAAAAATAATAATAAATAAATGAAATGAAATAAAATTTTTAAATGTAGACTTCATACTATATATGTCTACCATCACAATAAAAACAGCCATTAGAGCAATGTTAGAAGGATTTTTTGGGTGATTTAATACTTTTTTTTTTTTTAGAGAAATTTTTGCTATAGGGCACGTGCACTCGCTGGAGACAGAGAGACAGAACACACGAAATCAGCCCCCCAGGGGGGATGGCCATGCCACAATCCCTTCCTTTCTATTCTCCTCTCGGGATCTTGGGCACCCACGCACACACGCCTCGTGTGAGTTTCAGGGTGCCGGGTCCAGTCCAGCCATGCGAGACTGGATACCGTTTGCTGATCCCGGGTGATTTAACACTATAAATTGGATTGTGGTGGCTATAAGACTGTACATTTACAAAGTATCAATGAGCTGTGTTTATTTATTTATTTTTATTAAGAATATCACCATTTATTGTTCTACAGGTAAATTTTCTGTATCTTCAGCATTTTCTGCTCAAAATTAAGAGAACAAAGCAATCTCAAAGTTTAGAACTGGATCACCTGGCCCGTTCTCTTCTTATCTCCCCCCAGTTTAAAATGTTTGCATCTTTTAATGGCCAGCATCCTCTTGGGTCTGCAGTTGGGTTCAACACACTCAAGCCTTCGGACAATCTTCTTTGTGGTTTTAGCCTTCTTCCGGAAAATTGGCTTTGTCTGCCCACCATAGCCACTCTGCTTCTGGACGTAGCGCCTCTTCCCTTGAGCATACAGGGAATCCTTGCCCTTCTTATACTGGGTCACTTTGTGAGGCTGATGCTTGCCACATTTCTTACAGAAAGGCCTTCGAGTTTTAGGTACATGGACCATCTTGGCAGTTGAACTGTCTTCACGTTGAGAACGAGAAGTTGGCGTGCACGACCCTCGCCTCGCGCCACTCACGCCTAACAGGAAAGGCATGAGCTGTGTTTTTAAAAAGCTGAACATTAGTGCCTGAAAATTATAGCTCAAGATGGGACGATGGTGTCGTGATTACGTCGCTGGACTCCCACATGGTCAACCGTTGTTCAAGTCCTGGACCTAGTGGCTTCAAAATCACGTTGGGCACGTGCATTTGCATTCGTTTTTTGTTTTTTCTTTTTTTGGAGAGGTTTTTGCTATAGGGCACGTGCGCTCACCAGGCAGACAGAGACAGAGAGACAGAAAGCAGGGAATCACCCCCCAGGGGGGATGGCCACGCCACAATCCCTTCTCCTCCATTCTCCTCTCAGGATCTTGGGCACGCACGCACATGCGCCCGGAGTGAGTTTAAGCCACCAGGTCCGGGACTCGAACCACAGTTGACCACGTGGGAGTCCAGCGACATAGCCATTATGCTAACTGCTGGGCCAGTGCATGTGCATTCGTGCCCACAATCCTGGGCAGAGAATGGAGGAGAAGGGATTACAGTGTGGCCATCCTCCCTGGGGGGTGATTTTTCACTTTCCCTCTCACTGTGTCGTCTCTCTCTCTCTCAGATAAGCGCACATTCCCTAAAGCAAAAACCTCTCACCAAAAAAAAAAAAAAAAAGT